CTAATAAAAACATGGTTTTCTTTCTTTGACAAACCTGCTAGAAAAGCAAGTGGCAGTGTTTAATGCAAACAAAGCACTAGGGCAAAGTGTGGGATTGTTTGGTTTGTTTCTAGGTAGGTAAGAAAATTGGGTATTATCAGTAAAAGCACCCCTGCTTAATTGTCCCTGGGCCAATCACTTATGTCTTGCCCTGGACAAATTGTGTTTCCTGAAGTTGGACAGAGCTGCAGCTCGATTCCTCGCTCAGCTTCTAAGGGTCTTCCTCGATCAAAGACCTGCCAGCTGTGCCAGGCTTTCAGCATCAGTGTGATCTCTGGCCCCAGCCAGCCTTTCCTGAGCTGAGAATTTCAAGCCCTCACGGTAGAGTTGAACCCTATAGTGAGAGATATGGTGTTAACTCTGGGCTGGTACCTATAAGCTGACTATAAAGTCTTTAATGTTTTACCAAGCACCAGTTGCTTTCAAAGTCAGCCAAACTGGTCTAGAGCTCCATGACCTTGTGTACGTTTTTAAATCTCACCTGTTTTCATACACTGTCAGCCACATACCTGTAACGAGTCACGATACAGGTTTCTCAACTATCTGCGGGTATGAAAGCTTCGACACCGAAAGCTTCGACGCAGGCTCCTTCAGTTGACCCGTGGGTAAGCCCTGTAGGTAAGAAGTAGGTTTCAGCAAGCTCAGGTGAGACTTGCCACGAGAGGGAGACATCATGCATGCAGCCCATGTGTTCCCTGAACACATCCACCTGAAAAAGACAGCCTAGTCTGGTATTTTGTAACGTGTCTGGACACATGCAGCTATTAGTGAGGCGGTGAGAACCCAAACTTTGGGCCTCAGGTGTGCGGTGGGTACCTGTGATAGAAAACAAGGACTTACCTTTGGCTAGTCATCATCTTCCAAGCATCTGCAGCATGACTAACAGTCACAGAGCCAAAAAGCATGCAGCAAATGGAGTCTGGATCTGCTAGCAATGGGATGGCACATGTCTGGGCCTCTCTGGGTCAGGTCGGGGAGATCCTGGTGTGAGCAGGACCATGCAGCACCGAAGGAGATGTTTTAGATACCTGCAGCTGGCCGGCGAGGCCCTTCCCTGTTCATACTGCAAACAGCCATTACAAAGGCTGAGCTGCACCCTGTAACCAGCTTCGGCAGGCTGGGCCAGCGGGAGTGTTTGCACAGAGCTGTGAAAACACGGCGCTGCGAGCGCCAGCTGCTGTGGCACCCGGGACACCCGCCACTGCTCGGGAGAGGTCCTTTGCTTCCTCAACACCAGCTGAGAGATTTCATGGGAGAAAAGGCCTGTTCAGTGCACATGAGATGGCTTCATGTGCCCTCCAGATTGCGCCAGCTTTTCCCATGGCCGCAGCACAACAGCAGGGTTCTGTTTTCCTTTGGGAAGGGAATAAGCTGCTTCATCATTGTGATCTCTGTGCAGTGTCCTGTTGATAAGATCAGTTAACAGCGTTGGAGGAAAACTCTAGATTCAGGTCTGAAATATACAGTGAACGGGGCCTATTTGTTTAATTTGAGCTTCTAAGGTTTAAATCCCAGAGGAAATTAAATTAGGTGCCTAGAGCAATGGCAGTCTGTCATGTTTATTTGCTGGGAATGTCACCTCTAATATCATGCACATATAACGTGTGTGTGTGTTAATGTAATGGGGTATCATACTGTGCAGGAGCAGGCATGCTACAAGAACTGGAAACCTGAAATACAGTGAGCGAGGGAAGCTGAGATGGGATTGGATTTATTCTCATCCTTCTCCGTAGGAGCAAAGACTCACTCACCAGCACGAAGGTGGTTTTGCTGATTGCAGGTGGGGATGGCAACCTGATCTATGAGCACAGCCCTTAATGCTCTTGGGCCGTTTTGATTGAGCTACTTCTAAGAGGAGAAATCTTGCCTAGATGCGAATCCGGGATGACAGTACTTCTTGCTTCAAAGCCCTCTTCAGCAGCTGGTGTGCTGTGGACACATGCCTTCCCCCTGCATCCTCAGGAGAGCTCAAGAGTGCCGGTTTCCTGTGCCGAGGGACATGGCTGCTTGTACTTTTGGTTACACCCGCGCTTCGGAGACTCCCTTCTTCTCCAGGAAGGAGAGCAGGTCTCCCCAGCAGCGTGGGGTAGTAGGCTTTGGGGTGAGTTTTTTCCAACTCGGGCTGTGGAGGACGGGCTCTGAGTGGCACACTGTGAATGTCACTGCAGCAGTTTGTCATTGCAGCCTGTGATGCCTGCCCTCCACCAAAGTTAACTGTCTATGCAGGGCTTGCAGAACGGTGCTGTGATCTTTTCTCAGCACCCTGCACAGAGCAGCCTGCCATTGCTTTGATCCCACAAACGCGGCCCACGAGACAGCTGAGCTGTGGATTCCTGTCCCACTCCACTTGTCAGACCCTTCAGGGAGCTAGTTCAGCTCACGAAATCAGTGGAATTTGGTTTTTTTTTTCAGATGGATTACCAAAACTCACTGAGAGCGGGCAGCGAGCTACAGATGGGCTCAGCCATCTCAGGGAGTTGCACTCCTGGTCAGTCTTTAGCCACAGTGCTCCCTCCACGTAGGTTTGTCCCTACTCTAGGAGTCTGGCATAGCCAGGATCTTACCTGTGCCCCCATTCACTCTTTCTACCCTTC